ATAATTTAAACTTGCATAATTAAATACTTATTAATTCAATCACAATGCATAATAGTAATGCATGCACGAAACATAATTTCCATGCAAATATAAAACTAAATTTAACATACTTAAATAAAATATTCACAAATATAAATGTCTAAAGAGATTTGACATCATGGATATTACATTTTTCCCTTCTTATAAAAATTACATCGTTAGAATTTGACTTACTCGACTCTTCCATGCGAGTCTTCCTTAACCTCGCTATTGTGTCATCAAACACACCGACAAGCAATAAAAAGCATACTTATAATTCAATCAAGTAGGCATAACAAGCAATCAACCAACAACAAACATGAGTGCACATTCGATTACTTAAGCACTTACATATTGATGATGTTACCAAAACCCAATTTACGTGTACTAATTCGATCTCCTAAGTCAAGCCACTAAGGCAAACCTTGCTCGATACCACCTTTATAGCATCCCCGACCCGGGACCTAAAGTAGGTCAAGAATGTCCCGATAATGCCTCACATTCGAAGTGCAATGAATGCAAGACATTAAGCCTCGTGTCCTCTACCATATAAAATAAAATACTCAACAAAAATTTACTTAATTAACTTACTTTATTGCTTATTATTTAGGTCCATCCTTACTTTTAACCATAATAAAAATAGAAATCATTCCGTTGATTTTCAAAACCAATTCATTTAACATAAATAGAAATCATTTAAAACGCATTTATACGGAACACATTAAATCAAAAATATATTTATACAAAACATATTCAAATATTTTAAACCAAATTTTGGTCAACATAATAAATTTCCAAATCAATTTTCATTAAATATAAAAATTCATATAATTAAACTAATTGTTAAATAACCATTTTAATTTTTATTAAATAGTAAAATATTTCATTAAATCATAAGTTCTCAAAATACCCAAGTCATTTTATAAACTTCCAGTATAATGGAAGACTAAAGATTTAAGTTCAATTAAATACCTTGACTAAAACCTTAGTTTAAGTCATTGGATGCGAAGTTTTGAGTTAAGCTCATTGAAAGCTTATTTAGATCGGTGCATTGGTTTTAAACCATGAAACTCATTCATTAACTACCAAACACATATTCATTTACTTATTAAAGTTGCCCCCATAAGTACCATCATTTTACAAGTCGTAATAACTAAACCTAGAACGCATAAGTGTCTATGAACAAGTAAGAAAGGTGAAGTGTCCATAAACAAGTAAGAAATGTGAAGTTTATGTCTACTACTCTAAACTTATATTTCAAATACATATTTTGGCAAATTAAGCTTCGCATGACAACGACCTTTACCTCAAAATATGCCATCATTTATTCTTTTGCTCACACACCACAATATAAAATGGTGAGCTATGCTCGATAAGTGAAGTCTATGCATGAGATGCATGAAATGCAATTAAAAACCTTTTCTTTTATGCTTTGAAATTCATTTTTCTTATTTGGACGCATCCTGCTGGATGTGTATATATTCAACCATCTTTTAAAACCGTGTTTTTATAAAAACATAAAAAAAGCACCGGACACATCCATTTCTTTTTCCTCTTTGGACGCACCCTATCGAATGTGTATATATTCGATTCTCTTTGATGTGTCTAGCCGTTTTCCTAAAAAACTATGAATCATGATATTTCCTTTCTTGAAATCATGAGAAAAACCTTTTATGATATGCATATAAATGTAATGATATGCATTTCCTCAACATTAATTAGTAAGAACATATGTGATAATTATATGCATATGTTTAATAATTACACAAACATAAATCAAATAACATAAGATTAAGCACTTGGTCGAAACATGACACAACCAAATAACTCATTCAACATGAAATTCAAGTTTAAACTGAATCTTACCAAGGGTTCCTAAGCATCTCTATCAATCATTCAACACCTAATCACTTACCAAACAACCTTAATTCATCATGTAATTTTAAAATTATCAATTAACACTTCAAGCCATCAATTAATCAATAATCATTAGAAAGTATAATCTAATACCACCAAACATCCAACAAAACTGAATTCTCCACTTAGCATGTCTAATATTCAATCAATCAATTTACATATATCCAAGATCAAATCATTCAATTAAACACATGAATCAATGTCCACACAACCTTCTAAATACTTAAATCATCATTAATACATGAAAGTAAATCAATCAATCCAAACTTGATTTTGACCGAAACATAACCAACCAACATTATCAATGCTTAATTCTTAATTAAACCTCTAAATACAATAATTTTTTTAATTTCATACTTCAATTGAGATGAAACAACATCAATTGATTCACATAAACACCAAATAACTCAACATCACCAAATCAATTGAACAACTAAACTAACAATTTTATAACACCAAACATCCATCATCAAACAACATATCTATGAAATTCTTATGGTGTTGTTGGGATTACATTTACCTTCTATTAAGTTAGCCTTAGTTATACCTTGAAAGCTTTGAAATTCTCCTCTCTTTTCCTCCTTAAAACTTTCAGCAAAAGCCCAACTTTTTCCTCTCTTGTTCTTTCAGATCACCTTAGTAATTTTAAATAGATTTTGTGATTTTTCTCTTGTTAATTTAGTGTTTGAGAGGTTGAATTACCTTAGGTTCTTCTTGATTTTTCCTTGGTTGTCTTAATTTCCCTTCCTTTCATCTTTTTCTCCTTCGTTAAATTATTCAAGAGCAAAATAGCTTAAGATTTTGCCACTTAAGTGGCCATTTGTATGGCCATTCTTCTTTCCTTAGCATTGTTAAATCTTCTAGAATTTTTTTTCTTTTCTCTTGTTAATTCTTTCATGTTGTCGAATTATTTGGATCTCTCTTCATTCATTTTGTTTGTAATTCACACATCAAATTCTTGTTCTAGTTGAATTATTAGCTCCCATAAGTTTGTTCAATTTTCATTTTGATCGCTAGATTTTATTACAAAATTCAATTAAGTCCTTACACTTTGGTCCTTAAACTTTTAATTATTTCACTTAAGTTCTTATGTTATTCGCATACTATAGCATTTAATACTTTAAACTTGCATAATTAATTCAATCATAATGCATAATATTAATGCATGCATAAAACATAATTTTCATGCGAACATAAAATTTAATTTCACATACTTCAATAAAATATTCACACATATATAAATGTATAAGGAGATTTTAGGTCATGAATATTACATTATTAGCACTCCAAGTGAGCTTTGCTTAAAGCTAAATAAAGATCATGAAGGAAAAAAAATGGATAACATGTTTTTAAACAAATTATGAGCGAGTTTAATGTATTTAGCAACAACAATATCAAGTATAATGCATTTTGTGAGTCTAATTAGTAGATATATATAGAGTTCAATAGAGATGTATTTGTTAGTCTGCCAAGAGAATCTTTCATTATTTACACGGAACAAGAGATTTTGGGATGCTCTATAAGAAAGGTAAAATATCATATTTGTGCAGGTTTACCGACGGTGATTATGTAGGAGATAAAGATGATAGAATGAGTACTTCTAGTTATGTTTTTATGATGGGTACATGAGTCTGTTTTGTGGTCATCGAAACAACCAATAGTTATTTTGTCAAGTACATAAGTCTGAATTTGTTCGTTGCCATGACTTGTGCGTGTCAAGCCATCCGGTTAAGAAAAATTCTTAAAGAGTCGTATTTCAAGCAAGTAGGAGCTACTACAATTTTTTTTATAGCACCTTAGCCATCACAATTTTCTAAAAATCATGTGCTACATGGAAGAAGTAAGCATATTTACGTGAATTGTTATTTTTTAAGAGACCTCAACAATGATGGAACAATTGATTTAAAATACTGCGAAAATAAAGAGCAGTATGATCGATATATTTACTAAACCTTTTAGATCTCTTTCCTTTCAAAATGCGAGAAGGTTATTAGGTATTTGCACTTTGAAAATTTTAAGTTGAAGTTTAAAAGCTTTTAGTTTAAGGGAGGGTTTGTTGATCATTAAGTTTTGCAAGTTTGTCTTAGTCTTTACTTTGATTTAGTCTATATTTGTCCTAGTTTTAGGAGTTTTAGTTATTATGGTTTTGTAGAACATGGCTTTGTTACCTAAACTTTAGGAATAAGTATTATATATTAATTTCTATTTTGTTGATATTTTTGTTATATATTTGCCTATATAAAGACGTTAAAGTTCCGAATGATATATGAAAAAGAGTATCATCTCTCTTTTATTCTTAAACTAACAATTAACACTATTATTTAAACACTTCAATTACTATTGTTCTATGACGTTTACAACATCAACAATAACTTAACAATCACATTATTTGTCTCCCCGTCATTATAATTCTTATCTTAACTAATAAAAATATCATTACTACAACTATCATTAACACTGCTTGCTATTACCCTCATTAAAATCAATAGGATCGCCATATGTCATTACTTGTATTATAAATACCATCTAAATTATAAATTAGTTTCTTTAGTTTTCAAAATAAATTAATTACTCTCTTTAGTTTAAAAAATAATTAATTAGTTGTTTTCATCAATTTTTATGTCCTTTTTCACTTTTTTAAGAAATAAACAAGGTAAAAAAAAGATATTATGAAAATTTTGATGATAAGGAAAATATTTTTTAAAATAGATTAATATTAAACTAACTATGATCAATAATGATTAAAAAATTAATTAATCAATTTTGAAACTAGTGGCACTAATTTATAATTTACTCAATAAAAAATAACTATTTATTTTCTTATTTGGAAAAAAATACACATCATCCTTTGGGAGTAAAATGTTTTTTCAAACAAATATATATCTTGTACAAACAAATATATATCTTGTACCAAACCGAAAACGGTAACGTTGCAAGCCGGTTAGAAACGGAAATTAGAAGCGTTCTTATTCGCTGCCGGAAGAATCAATTGGATAGAGTCGAGTCTCTTGCTATCACGTTTGGATCTCCCTCTAACTGAACTCAACTCAATTCACCACATTAGAATGAGTCGCAAGAGAGACAGACCCAACTTCACGCGCTACGACCGGCCGGCTCCCTACCCAAAGCGGCGTCGTCCTCCTGCTCCTCCTCCTCCGCAGTTCCCACCAGACGATGTCAAGCCATCGACGAAGCCTCCCCCGCCGCCTGCGGTGGTTGTGATGGATCTATCTCCGGACTGCTCAGTCCTTGATCTGAAGTCGCGATTCTCAATATACGGCGAAATCTCTCGCATCCGCATCGATCGTGATGGTGTTGGTTACATCACTTATCGTTCTAAGGACTCAGCTGAGGCTGCCATTACCGCTTCTCTTGACGCTTCCTTTGGCATCACTGTCGACTCTAAAAAGGTTACTATTTATTTATTATTATTATTTGGTTAGTTTTTCACTGAATTCAGCAAAAAATTGCTGACTTTTGTTTGCTTTTTATATGGAATTGAGTGCAGATTTTGTAGAAATTGCCTTAGTTCACATTAATTCGTTTGTTTCAATTTTGGATTATTGAAATCAGGGTTTGTTGTAGGTACAAGTGTTATGGGCAACGGATCCGCTTGTGCAATGGAGAGAAGGAGTTGGAGTTGGCGGTAAGAAGGGCAGTGGGTCCTCCTCCTCCAAACTCTTGAGGGCTGGGATACCTTTAAGCAGACATGGGAGAGGTAACAAGCTTGCTTCAGCGGTAGTGAATCCAAGTAGTAGTAGTAGTGATGGTTCTCCTGTGTTAGACGTGCCTTTCAAAGGCAGAGAAATCATTGCTTATGATGATATCCTCTAGACATTTTTTCCCCCTCCCTTAAAACATTGGGCTAGAGATTCGCTACTGCTGGAAGGTACCAAGAAGGTACTGTTTTTCATGTGTTTTATTATGGTATCATGACAAGTGTGCCTAGAAATTTCATTTAAGTTAAAGCAACGTTGGATGAAATTAGTCGAAGACGTGATACATCTTTGCATTTGCATCACGCATTTGTATTAATAGGTCATCGATGCAGTGTTGCCCTTTTTGCTTTCTTTATCTAGGTTGTGTAATTCGTTTTTGGCTTTAAAATGTTTTTGTTTTATCTTCAGTATGATTGTGTATACATTGTTATTTGGATCATTGTGGACTGGAAATGGATTGCTTTGTTCTGATTAGAAGCTGGTCTGGTCTCAGATTAGGGCTTCATTTGAATTGGATTTCCGCTTGAGATTGCTGGTTCTTATGGTTAGGTTTTGCAACTGGAGGCTACTTATTGTTGAGGTTCCTTGGAGGTTGATACTTGTTTCAACTCCAAGAGCTGAGTGGACTGGCATAATGGCATTGCTATCTTATATTAACTTGTCTCAAGAAGCCTCCCCTGTCGTTCTTGCAGGATTTAGTGCCTCAAACCCAAAAATTGCTCCAGCTTGTATCGACGTGATGAAACTCGGTGCTCCCCAATTTTAATTTTGAAAATTGTTGAATTATAAATGACCCATTGGCTGGGCTGTATAGCTTTCCCATTCTCTAGGGTTGAGATTGGGACCAAAGATCCCCTAGTCCTGTTGTTAATTAGACGAAGTAAAGATTGGAAAAGCCGATTCAGTTTTTACGAGTTGTACGCCAGACCTCTTGACTCTGACTGAAGCTAGTTTCTGAAAATAAGCATTACAAGAAAAACACCTTTTGCTGGTTGAGATAAGACGCTACGCCGACAAATTGACAAGGTTGGTTCTTTTTAGCTCATCATCCTCAAAATTGCCACCAAAAATATGAGTTGGATGGAGAACTATACGAAAAAAACAAGTGGGTCATGAAAGAAATCTTGCACTTTCGGATTTGTTTTTTCGTTGAACTTTTCTTGGCATAGACTTTTATTTGTTAGGATACAGTTTAAATTATTATTATTACTATTATATATAACTTAGTAAAAGAATTCAAATGGGATAGTTTAACCTACAAGACCTTTTCGCCAAATGGTTATGTATCGGAGACACAGGCTATATTGATATTTATCAGTCTTAGTTAGGGTGATAATTCAGGTAATGGAATGCTTTAAAAAAAAAAAAAATCAGAAGTTAATTATTTAAATGGGTACAATAAAAGGTTAGTCATTTAAACTGAACAAAAATAGTGAAATTGCAGTTTTTTTTTCCTTAATAATTTCAAGTGGGATTTACTTTTTGTCATGTATTGGAAGTTGCCTATCACTTGGACATTTAACACCTTCATGTGACAAAATGTATTTAAATAGGAAAAAATATTAAATGTCAATCATTCAAATAAATTATTATTTGAAATAAAATATTACGAATTCAAAGAGAATAAGATTTAAGAATTGGACATTGAAACTGTATTTTTTATCGTATATAAAATAAAGGATAAATATATCCATCTATCATTATATAATACTCATAATCTTTTATCTATTTTTAAATTTTTAATTGTATTCCCTATATTCTTGGAAAAATTTTAAATATACAATTTGTCATTTCAATAAAACTTTTTGACCATGAATTTTTTTTTTATCGAAATGATTTTTTATTTTTTTGATTGAGATACCCCTTACTAAAATGCCTAAAAAAAAAACATAAAGTCACATGACTTATATGTTTTATTTTTGAACTCTTTAATTTTTTTTTTTTTCATTTCAATCGAGGCGCTTCGGTCAAAAAATTTCACTTGGCAAGAAAATTAATCGAAAAGATCAATTGAACATTTTAAATATTTTCAGAGATAAATAGATGCAATTAAAAATATATGAAAGACTTTAAGTATTATATAAGAGCAAATAATTATATTTATTCTAAAATAAATAAAAATACTATACACACATATGTAAATAATATTAAAATTTCATACAAACTTACTTGGTGAACACATGTAACAAGTTATAAGTTGCAAATTATAGGTGAAAAAACATTTACATAATTGATTGAACATAAGAAAGTATTGCATTATCTCTTCTTCTTTTTATGTGTTTATCTCTTTCCTCGAAATGAAGTCATAGAATAATTAATGTACATAACATTAGTTATTCCTTGAAAATTATAAAATTTGTCATTATTCACTTCTCCTGTGGATTTTGAATTCTGTTAAAGGCAGCAAGAAAACAATTTGTTGTGAACCATTAGTACAAGCATTGATGCTCTAATTGAGACCCATTAGAGAGGGGCTCGGTTTTTATATGTAGAAGCTGGCTTCATGATATCATTGTAGTTCAAACCTAAAGCAAGTTTGTATGTTTTATTTGTTGGTTTGCATGTCCAATTAGCGTACGGTCAACTTATATCTTAATTGAGAAGTGACAATAAAATTATACATATAGTTCGTTTAATTTTATTCTAGAAAGGTAAAATCAAAATTTGAACATGCTTTTTTATTTATATAACTCAAGTAAATTGATAGCACCAAACTACACATGAGGGCAACAAGATTAGAGCGTACAAGAACTCGATATATGCTATTTATATAGATTAAAGAAAAAAAATTAATCAAATCCAAATCAAATCAATTTAGCATGTTAATTTTTTACTTTTTTTTATTTTATTTTTTTTAAATGCAATAAATATATAAAAAAAATATTTATTTTTAAGTAAAGTTCAGGTATTTAATAATTTTAATGTTTGAACTTTTTAAAAAAATTAAGTGATTTTTTTATATTTTTTTATTGATTAAAATTCATATTAATTATATATTCCATTATTTTTCTTATTTTAGAGTGAATTTGCTTTCAAAATAAAATTGTGTGTATATACTTTTAAATAAATCACGTGAGAAATTTTTTAAGGAATTAAATGATAAACTATCTATACTTTTGTTTTTGGGTGGGGGAGGAGAGAATTGAAGGTTACACGACATAAAGTTATTTTCCATTAGTTTTGGTAAAGAATATGGATGGAAGTGTGTTGTTGATAAATGATTGAAACCTTAAAGGGGTAATTGACAGGGAGAAAATATGGTTGTTAACGGATTGAATCATATAATATATTTGGACATGATTTATTTAATAAATAAATCGTATTGAATCTTATGAATTCAAATTTGAACTTTAAAATTATCAATTCAGATCTAGATCTTAACATATATGGATTAAATTTGGATATCTATCGAATTTATCATTTATTTATTTTTTTAAAATAAAAATTGTTGGTTAAATTCAAATCACATTTCAATCTAAAATGAGTTTTGACTATTGCATGTATAAGAAAAATGATAATATTTAATATATCAATTTAAAAAATATCTAAATGTCTAATCATTAAAAAAATAATTCTCATAGAAATTTATATTAAAAGTCAAGATTAATTTAAATTAGGCAAAAAATATGACAAGTTAAAAAATAATAAAATGCCTACTTTAGGCACAACTTGATTGGTATGAACAAAAATTCTAGTGTTTTACCAAAAAAACAAGGTTTAAATGAACAAAATTCAGATTGAATCAAGATTTTATAAATTAGAAATACAAATACAATACTAGCAACTACTCATTATTATTATTTTTTTCTCATGCATTTATAAAATGTTTCACAAAATTAATTTTAGACTTGAAAAATGTTGGGAAAAAAAATCATCATGTAATTGTTTGAAAGAATAGCAGTTAATTTAGAGACAAAAAAAAAGAACCTAAGTATAATATATATTTTTTTAGCATTTAAAGTAAATAAACCCTAAATTAAAATCTAGTACTATATATATATATATTTCATATTTTTTTATGTTTTTAAAACACTAGATTTATTAGAAATAATATTAATATTAATTTCGGATTCTATTATTATTGAATCGGATTGACTTAGATCCGTACTTTATTTATTTATTTAATAATGGATTAACATGTACGAATAATAAAAATTGTATATTAGATTCGTTTAATTACAATGAAATCGGATAAGACTCAAATCAAGATCTTAATAAAAACAAACATTTGAATGGAGATTAATAGAACTCATATACCTTACAAAGTAAAAAAGAAATTAACCATCAAACTAGATGAGTATTTTCCATATGATTTACACACATCCATCATAAAATAAAATAAACCCTATTTAATATGCATCGTTCTTCTCATAGGCATATATGACAGCCATGAGAAGGAGTTTTTTTTTTAAATAGGGTACTTATAAAACTTATTTACAAAAATAAGATTGTTTTAATTTTATTTATTAAAATAAGATAGTTTTTGGCACATATATTAGATCTTTTACACATGTCAGTTTTTTTAATACTAATAATAAATCATTTAACACATCAACTTTATTTTTATAAAAAAAATTATGTCACCATTCTAAATTTTACGTTCTTCATCTTGCTTTTTACCATCGAAAAATCTCTTTTTTTTCTGGTTTTTTGTTTCAGTTCCTGATTAATCAAGATAAAAAAAATAAAGATTTTGCCATGTTTCATTTTTCAAATTTTTTTTCGAATGCTCTGATATGCTACAAACAAAATGTTAGGGCATAAATCTTTCTTATGCCCACCAATTCCGTCATTTTCAAGAACCACTCTTCTCCATCCCCAACCCAGCCTCCCTCTCCATTATTTCCCTCTCAAAATCTCCAGAAAAATTCATCTACGATTCTTCCTCTTTGCACAAACCAACAACAACAACAACCTAACTTAAGAACCAGAACAAGAGAAGGAAAATGGATCTTCGAATAACAGTGGTGGTGGTCATGATTTGAAGAAAGATCAACGTCCTCCCTTTAACAATATCAAATCGGGTGATTTGTTCCTGAACCCAGATCTTGAAAACATCTTGGCTATTGGATTAACTGGTTTGCTTGCTTAGGTTAGTGTTCAAGTTCTTTGGAAGCTTTATTTATCTCTTTTGCTATTCTTGTTGCTGCTCGTAAGTACTCTTTCATTGTTTCCCTTTTTATTTTCATCCTCGTTGCCCTTCTTTAAGGGGTTTTTGTTCCTTCTTGGATACTTTCTTAATAGTTGTAATAATGTCTTGAATTTTATGTGTATTATTGATTCTCTGAATTTTAGTGGCAGAAGTTAATTTGTTCTTTGTTTGCTGTTGTTGAACTTTCACAAGCTAAAGTACTATGTCATTTAATAAATTATTGAATGTAGAAGCAGAATGCATGTAGCTTATTTGAATTAGACTGAGGCTAGGTTTTACTAGAATTTAGTGGAGCAGTTATTTTGATGGCTTGCTGTAGGAAACGCTTAGATGGCCTAAAGTGGAATGGTAGCTACTTGTTTCAATATGGTGTCACAAAGTTAATCTGAAGAAGGAACATTCGTAGGTTATTCCACTACTTCACTTTCGTCTTGATGGGTTGCTTCCTCTGTGGTTAAATTTGAAGCCGAATTTGGGTAGAGTAGTTGAATGTCTTATTGAAAATCCCTGGTTCATTACCAATAGATAGGTTGCTTCCCCTGTGCTTACTTCTAGTTATTCTTTATATATTAAAATAGGAAGAATATGGCCACTAAACAATGATTATTGAACTCTGAAATATTCTCTTGTAACCTTTATCACACTCATACTTCACCCCAGAAGCATCAATATCACTAGATATTACTGATGAAATCTTGGGGGTTTAGCTGTATTGTTTTCTGATGGTAGCTTGACAAAGGTCGAGCATGTTAATTTGCTAGAAGTAAATAGACATGCACACATTGAACATTCAAAACAGTTGCATAATGCACTTTCCCTTTCTAGACAGAAACTATTAAGCCCTATGGGTTCTGATGCACACAACGCTGTTGTCATTTCCTTCATTGGTTGCAAGCCTTCTTGATACGATACAATAGGAATGTGTTTCTCCTAATTACTTTGAACTTAAACTAATGGTGTAATTTTGTCATATTTGAGAGGATTTTAATTGTAAGATTTTGTAAACTAATGTGTTTCTCCTTCATCTTTTCCTCTTCTAATTTTATCTGCACTAATTTTAAACAGATTCATGCTATGTGTAATCATATTCTTCTATATTATTGTCCTGCAAAGTATGATGCGACTTGCAGAAGAGTCTATCCCAAGTTCTGCTAAAAATATTGCTCTGGCTGTTGGTGCACTCTGTGTGGTAAGAGATATGCTCCTTCAGAATTCACAACTTTCATTTTTTTTCATTTCAATAACCAAAGCATTCTGTTATTTCACTTTCAAATATTGCTTTGTCCAGTTTGCTAATTTTGCTCGCATGTGTTCTTTTCTGCCCTTTCCTCAGTTTGTGCCATTCCCTACCCTTTTCTTTTTCTTTTTTGAGTTATTTAAAAAGGTAATAATGTTTTGGTTTTCACGCTTAGCATATGACCTTATGGCTGTTGTGTTGTCTTTTTGTTTGATGATATTAATTTATAATACCCTATGTATTTGGTGCAGAAGCAAGCACGAGGAAGCTGTCTTGGAGTGTGAATTTGAAAAAGGATCTAGTTTGTACAAGTTTGAGATACGAGAGTTAGAATCTCTTAGAAAATTTTTCGAAACAATAAATAAATGACAAGAATCCTATATTACACCCCAATTGTATAAACTTTGCAAATAGTGAGTTTCAACATTGTTGGCTAGCTTAGTTGACCAAGCCTAAGCCCCTCTTTTCGTTGTCGATTTTTGTCTGTTTTAGTAGGCCTGAGTGTTATATGTTTTAGCCACTCTGTGTATTACATTCTCTCAAACTGCAAGTGGTCATGGCATTTATCAAATATAATTAATAGAATGCTGCTGATATTATTATACCATGAAGCGCCCAAGGCGTAAAAGAAAACCAAAGAAGATAGCTAACCAGACCTATTCTATTCCTTTTTTTTTTTTTTTGACGTATTTGACTGATTCAGTTGAGCTGTTATTAGAATTTGAAAGATACCAAACGGATCTCTTTTTGGATTTACTTCTTTAACCTAAACCAAAAAAAAAAAAAAAAAAAACCACTAATACTAAGTTATATTTCCAACGTCTCTCTTCTAAATTCACTACCGAAGTAAAGCAGGACCCGAGTAGCTGAGTTTTTTTTTTTTTTTTTAAAACAGGGTACTTGTATAATAAGCTCCTCTTTTCCTTGTTGATTTTTGGTTGTGGAGTTTCTATAAAGACTTCTGCCAATTCAGTACTTGTAATAACCGGTACTCGCTAAAATTAAAATTAAAAAAAATTAAATATTTAAAAACATACGAGATATATTTTAAAGATATAAAGTAGTTCACAAAGATTAGAGAAAATATTCAAAATAGATAAAATAGTCATTTTTCTTGCCTGTGTAATGAAGAAATGTGTTTTTCTTGGAGACAAAGAGTTACACGGGCGTGTCCTTCCCCATGTAATGAAGAAATGTGTTTTTCTTGAAAGCAGAGAGTTACACGGCCTCCCACACAGGCGTGTCCTTCCTTGTGTAATGAAGAAATGTGTTTTTCTTGGAGGCGAGAGAGTTATACAGCCTCCCACACAGGTGTGTCCTTTCCCGTGTAGTGAAGAAATGTGTTTTTCTTAGAAGTAGAGCGTTACACAGCCTCACACACGGGTGTGTCCCTACCCGTGTAATAAAGAAATGTGTTTTTCTTGAAGGCAGAGAGTTACACGACCTCTCACACGGGTATCTTTATACCCATGTAATTCACTAATCACTTAAAAGTCACTCTTTAAGTTCCATACCCTAAATTAGTTTATTCATGCTTAAGATAATATAAAATGGATGATTTAGAAAAAAAGTGTGCATGAAAATCTAAAGAAAAATTATAGATATTATATGGTAATTTGTTCTCTAAATTTCTATGTCACATCTACTAAAATATAAATATACATTCATATTAAATTATTTCAATCATTTTCCTGATCAAACAAGAAGAGATAGTTTTAGACATTGTGAGTCTCAAAATTGATTATCATGCACATATCTTGCCTTGAAAATTAAAATTATAAAAAAAGCTGATATTACAATCGATTCCCTAATTGACAATATACATATATTAAAAGGAAATCGTCTGTACAACAACATGGTTTTTAAAACGAGTATCGAGTGGGTATGGGCATAGGTTCGAGTATGGGTGTAACTAAATGGGTGAGGCTGGTGAATCACAGATCAAAGAGTGAGCAGCCACCAGGTTTAAGTATTTGATGGGATCTACAGATGTAGTGGTCTGTGGATCGCTGCTTCTTCTTCCATGAAAATTCATACAAAATCAAGCTTGGATGGAACTGAAAAAACGAACAAATAACTCTATCGAGGACACCTGATCTGAAGTTCTGAACTGAAATTCCTTTCCTCAAGCCGCAAACTTGGAAATCCTTGGACTCCACACTTTGGGGCTGAGCTAACAAAGGAAAGCAAGAAAGAGACTGAAGTTAGTTACTTTGCTTGGTGACTCCCTCATGAGCAGGAACAGACCTGTTCTTCCTGCAATTCTTTGGCAACTCTTAGGTGGGTATTAGACTGATAGCGAGTGGGACTGTTGCTGAATCAGAAATAGAAAAAGAAGAAATATATATTAAATATTAAATATATATTATAGCACTTAATTAAAAAAAAAAGACATAGATACTTACATGTTAAAATTATTTTTTTTTATAAATAAATTTAAAACTATCTTATTTAAAAAAATAAGATTAAAAAGTATCTTATTTAGGAAAAAAAACTCCCACGAGAAGCGTCTGTTCTTTACATTACAAAAGACTGGGGGGTATCACTATGGCGGCACTGTAGCTTTTCTGAAAAACATTGATTTTTCATAAGAATTGAAAAAAAAAAAAAAAAAAAAAAAAAAAACCCATAAGAAACATGAAAGAAAGAAGATTTTTTTTCCAATCTTTTAATACCTCAACAACACGCCCCACTATGATATCATCAATCTCTGGCTTATATCTAACAGTCAGCCATAAGTAAGGAATAAGAATTTTATTTTATCACTACAAAACAAGGAAGAACTGAAGCAATATAATTACCTGGTGCATAAAGTGCGAACGTAGACTAATTTGGTAACACGCTCCACCACTTCATAGAGTGTCGCTACCACTTCACCGTCGCACTCAGAGGTGCCATGACCCCTTCATTGAATCAAAAGTAAGCTAGCTACTTTAACTGAACGTTAAATAAGAAAAGGGCACTTAAGAATGGTGTCTTCATTGCTAATGGGGATGGTATTGGCAACGGTTATAGAAGCATTGGAATTGGCTTTAGAATACAAAGACTCTAGCTGTTGCACAGCTCTCTATAACCTTATCTTTTGCATTTGATTCAATGATACTTCTATCCCTCTCATTTCTCTTCGTCTCTACTCTCTCCCTAATTAACCCAACTACCGAATCGAATTTTAAGGCCACCCTCAGCGTCGCCATTTTTGAGAAAGAAAGTTGGCTTTGATTGGGTAAAGAGAGCATCAAATAGGACCAAATAACTATAAAATGAAAAATGAAACCAGATCAATAGTACTAGCCAAAGATTTAGTCTACCACTTGAATGATCAAATCAATCAAATAAACCCAGATAAATAGTGAAGAGAATCAGTTTAAGTAAGTATTAATAGCAGAGATTACCTGTTCAGTTTTGGAACTCGTAAAGCAGCAAGTTTTTGGGTTTCGTCAACTGTTATAAAGATGAGTGAGGGAGAAAGGAGTTGCTATCAGTTTTTTTAGCTGTTCTCTCCTTTGAAGCTACCCTCTCTTTTTGCTTTTCTTTTGCTTCTTCAACAACCAACAGAAGCTCAGCCAAAGAGGAGGGAAAAAAAGGGGAGATCGAGATGGGAAACAAAGTCGCTGGTGGGGTTGAGATCTCTTGCAGTCAAGGAGGATTTTCAGGGAAAGAAAGGAAATAAAAAAATCAATGATAGTATCGCAATTCAGGAGGATTTTCAGGTAAAAGAAAGGAAATAAAAAATATCACCATTGCAAACCATTTAATGTTGACTGACAAACGGCCGTAGGTGACAAAAAATATCACTTGCTCTCTCTTTTTTTCTATCTTTATATTTCCTTCGTTTTCCTCTCATCTCAACCTTTCATTTTAACATTAAATCCTAGCCATCAGTTCACCAAAAATGCAATCCATATAATTCTCTCCACAACCAATGATTGGCTGCCACATATCCCACCTTGTCTCTTTCATTTTTTTTAAAAAAAACTCTCATTTTATTCTCTCATCTACATTTTCTCTCTCCTCTCTCCTTTCATCTTCTCTTTTCTGTTTTTCTTTGCAAAGAATAAAGCATTTCTACTTAGTCTTCCTTCACCACAAGGCATGTATGGATGCTTTTCTTAGTTGATTAAAGAGTTTTGGAGATAGGTGTTTGGCGTAATGTTGTCCCTGCTTCTTTTTTTTTTTTTTTTTTTGACATGCTATGTATTTAGATGTTTCCTTTTGTTCTTCCACCAAGCATTGAATGCTTATGTGTGTTGATTTTGGCAGCTTTGATTTCTTTCACCATTTTTCTTCTTTTAGCATATTTAGATCTTCCTGGTGGCGGCTTAGAGTGCTACCTCCTATTTTGTATACAAATAAAAAAATATTAACCAACACTAATAAACAAAATAATAACATTACCTTTATCATTAAAAAATTAAAATAAAATAAATATTTAACCTCATTATAAATTGAATTACATAATTCTACATTTAATATATGCAGAAGAAAACTTTAAAAGAAATTAAAAATGAAGCATGCATGTTTTGAAAAGATTATCATCCCATTGAAATTAAAAAGAAAAAGAAAAAAAAAACCATTTTCTAATATCTCACTTTTTACGCAATCAATTACATTAATAAACAATTTTATTATTTTTTTAATTGTTAGCATAGTTTTCAATTCAGTATTAACAAATAACTATATAACAAAAATTAAAAAAAGAAAAAAAAAACCATTTTCCAATGTCTCACTTTTTACGCAATCAATTGCATTAATAAACAATTTTAATTTTTTTAAAAAAATTGTTAGCATAGGTTTCAATTCAGTATTAACAAGTATTTTACCAATAAAAAAACATGTTTCATCTAAGTACAAAATTTATATAAAAAAAAAAACATAAACATACATTAATCATATGATAAAAAATTAAATTTGAAATTTAACATTTCTCTTATAACTTATATCAATTATCATCATAAAAAACTATTTAAATGTAGATTTACTGACCATGTTGTTTTTCCAGGACACTGTTGCATTTCTTATACCTGGAGGCGTGCTGTTTTTTCTTTCCAGGTCAGTTTCCATACTTGAAGTTTTTTTTTTTTTTTTATTTAAATATTTGCTCTGTTGTTGTTTCTATATATGTTAGTTTATTTTTTGTGGTGGTCTTATTTATTTGATTTTTTATTTTTATTTTGATTGATGTTGCTCTTTCTTTTGTATATATATTTTATTTTTAATTTGTGCTTTCTACCTATGTTATGGTTTTCTGTTATGTTGAAAATTTTGCTTCTCCTTCTTTTTGCATAGTTTCTCTTTTCTTTTTTTCTTTTCTTTCCCTAAGATGTTAGGTCATTCTTGTTATCGTTTGTTTTGTTGTTTCATGACTTTGGCTACCTCATGTTTTTTTTTTTGGTTGAGTGAGAATAAAAAAGTTGTGTATAAGAAATTTTATGCATTTTTCCTTTTGTCATTTTATTTTCTTTTGTTGTTTTTTTTTTCTTGTACGAATTTTATGTTTTGCTTCGTCCTTTGTTGTTGTTTGAGGTTTCTCTTTCAAAACTCTTGATATTGCCAACGTATTGCAACTTCTCCTTAGCTTTTTTTTTTTTTTTTTTCAAATCTCTTTTACCTTTTTGGATAGTCAAATGTATATTTGTTATTTTTTTTTTAAGGCTCTTGTTATCCTTTATTTTTCAAGTCGGATAGCTCTCTTTTTATTAAAGATCTTTTTTTATACAAGTATCGTTATGTTAGGTCTTTTAAGATTCTTTATCATTATTTGTTTGTTTATTTTTGGCTACTATCTTTCAAAATTTTGGACCATACATTTTATTAGAGTTTTCTCTTCTTTATCATATTTCTTGATTGTTCTGGTCTATTTGGCATACCTCTTCCTCTCTTATTTGATATATTTTTTAAATGTTTGCCTTAATTCAATCATGGCTATTGCTTTGATATTGTCTTGCTATATGGAAATAACCTTTTAACTTATATAATTTGGCAATGAGTAAATATTGACTTGACTAAGCTGCCACTCCTTCTCATTCTAGGATCTTTTTGCTTTTGGTTTAGTGTCATGACTCATGCTCATGATCGATGATACATGGCTCATATTTGAAAATAATATTTATAAATTAGACTAGGGAATCATGTTAGGTTGAATTTGAGGTTATCTAATGATGCAAATATGATATCATAATAAAATGCTTTTCACAAAGTTTGTTACCTGTAAGATCTATAACCAGCCCCGTGACAATGCCCTATTCTGGGAAAGAATTAGAAATCCAAATATTTTGAGAGCCTCGAATGGTTGCATTTGGTAGCTTCATATGATTATGTCTTGGTGCAGACAATACTCACTCAAATAATAGATGTAGTTTTCAAATAATCATGTTAGGGTGAATTTGAGATTATCTAATGATGCAAATATGATATCATAATAAAATATTTTTCACAAAGTCGGTTACTTATAAGATCTATAGCCAGCCTTGTGACAATGCCCTATTCCGAGAAAGAATTAAAAATCCAAATATTTTGAGAGCCTCGAATGGTTGCATTTGGCAGCTTCATATGATTATGTCTTGGTGTAAACAATACTTACTCTCAAATAATAGATGTTGTTTTCATTAATGTGCAGTGAAATGTTTTCATTTTTTTTTTTAACAAATTGCTAAAAAGAATGTTTGAAATACACATTAAGCACAAGAAAATTATTTATTTCTTTAGAAAGAAGGTATTGGGTCCAAATATATCATTTTTTAACTCTAAAATCAATGAGTTAGAAATAAAAATTGAAGATGGGTGGGAAGGGAAGGGGTAGAGAAAAAGGTGTGCCTTTTTTTATATATGACTATTGAATATTAATTAACAATGGATAAAATTTGGATTTTGATTATTATGGGGTCTTTGAATTCTCATTTACTCTCTGTGTTGTCATTGTTGTTTCCTTTACCTGTGGAATTAGTCATGCAACTAAAAAATGTAGAAAAATAATGTTTTTACTATTTTGGAAACTTGAAGGATGTAGAATGGATTTCATTGAAGAGATTATTAAGAGTCATAACGTCGTGTACAAATTAAAAGTTGTGTTTATCAAGTTGAGCTTATTCTTTGACCAAGATTTTAAACGAAATTCATTGCACCTTTTTTAATTGTTTGAAAATGAAATACTCGGGTTTCGGCATTGTTCTAGCTCTTATGTACTAACACAATTTTTTTTTACGGCCCTTATATGTGCATATGAAAAAAATATATTATATGTTCCAAATCACATTAAAAAATTATTATTGCATTTTATTGACTGTTGGGTCTTGGGAGTATGGAGCCCTTCAAATATGCTTTATTTCGTATTTGTCTAATCTAAAATAATTCTTATAATTATCCCTGTTGAAGTTTATATTTCTTTTTCAGCTCTACTGAGGTTATATATGTTACTTGACGTTTCATTCTCAAGCATTTTCTAATTCATGCTACGTGCTTTTGTGGTTTTCCTTTCTTATAGCTATTCTGTTTGCAGCTTTACTTTTGCTAGGTGTTCAGACGTGATGTCCTATATCCCATGATTGCTGCTGCTTTTTACTATGCCAGGTTGGTTTAGCCTTTTCTTATGCTTGCTTTTTACATCATCGAATGCCTTTTTTGTTTGACAAGTTTTCCTGTTACGGGTTTGGTTACAAACAGATCAAATTATCTTAGATGAGTTGCATATTTGAATATCTGAAAACACAGCAGGAAAATAAACAAGCCTGAAAAATCATCTTTTATACAATATGTATGATAAAGTCTACCCACCAGTTCTCTATTTATTAAGGATTTTTTTTCCTGTTGCGCACTCTTATTTTTTTTATCTTTTTTTTCCTGGATCCTATACAAAGATCTTTTCCCATCTGCTATGTGCTAGGACACAGAGTTTCGAAGATAGATTTCCATGGGTGTATGAAGATTTTATGTATAATCATTGGATTCCCATCTTAGTCATGAATTCTCTTACTTTGCCCGTGACCATGCAGAGAGGTCGAATCACATATTAGTTATTATTACACACGTGTGATTAATCTGTAATTTTCATTCTCTAATGTTTGTAAATCATGCTCAATCCAGGGTTCTATCACAAAATTGGCTGCCTGGCGATTCAATTTATACTCTGCAGTTAAATGTTTTCATTACATTGCTTTAATCCTTTTTTGAAGACTACGCTTCGTTAATTCTTAAGTTA